TGTCTGTCTCTCTCTTTCTCTCTCTCTCTCTCTCTCTCTCTCTTTCTCTCTCTCTCTCTCTCTCTCCAGTGACAAATTCCTCACACCTTCCCTTCTCTCATGGCGTGCCCCCTATTCCCCTGTCATCGATCAATATTTCGATCAATCGCTTTTCTTGCTGTCCTGCTTTTCTGATCTCCCCCCACCCACCTTTTTCCCCCTCCTCGCCTTCCCTACTCAAGTCATTACCAGACTCGATGACTCAATGCTTGTCTTCTTAACTCTTTAGACCCTGAGTTTTGTTCACCGTTTACCGGTGTTTTTTTCTTCAGTCACCAAAGCCTGGTGCACTGTGTCTCTCATTATAACCCCAAAGGCTTGCCTCAAACTTCTAAATGGCGGACACAAAGGCTTGGTGATTATTTTAAAACTTGGAACTTAGTTGCGTCGGTGGTCTAGTGGATAGGCTGCCGGACTCGTAATCGTGAGGTTGCGGGTTCGGGGGGTTCGAGCCGCGGGGGCCCGACGTTGTGTCCTTGGGAAAAGCCCTTTACACGAATTTTCCTCACTTTACCCAGGTGGGAATAGGTACCCAGCTATAGACAGTGAACGATCTTGTCAGTTTGTTTGTGTTTGAGCGCTTAACCAGCTGCTTGCACTGTATGCTTCCAAGGAAGCTGGGAATGTTTCTGGGTGTTCTATGGTCTGCTGGGGTAATAATTATAGTGTAAAGCGAATAGAGTTTGCTTTCGAGTTCTGATATGCGCTATACAAATGCTATTTATTATTATCGGGAATAGTTTAGCAAAACAAGCAAACACTAGCATTAAATGAAATAAAACAGTAAAGTTGTCATTTGTATCGTACGCTCACAGCGTCCATGGGGAACATGGTATAGCGTTTAAAGAGTTAAAGCTTTCATAATAAAAGCCACACCTTCTACAGAGCAGCAAGAAGAATTGTCTTCTTCCATGTGATAATGATAGATAACAATAAATTGCATAGCGCATGCCCTCGCTCAACAGCAAGCTCAATGCGCTTTACAATCTATTTGTGAAGCTTGTTGACAAATTGAATTACTTTTCGGATTCAAGCCTTAAGAAAATAGATACATCACGATTATAGGCGAAGTTTTTTTACAATTTATGTGCATCAAATTAAATAATAAAAGACAGGTTATAGTTAAAGAATATGGCATCAAAAGAAAATCTACAATTTTGATCCTAATGTCGATTTTTGGCTAATATCTTCATTTGTGGATTGCGAGAAGTAACTCATTTTGTCAGCATGTCTCACATTTATTACAATAGCTGACCCTGGAACAACCAGCAGTATTATAAGCTACCTGGAAAACATATTATGAACCCTTTTAGTGTTGAAACTTAAAATATGAATGTTCCTTTAAGAGAGAAAAAGACCAAAGCCACAATATATTCCCCCCTTTTTAAAAACATGAAACTGTATACTTTGCAAATACATCTTCTAGAATCATCATCATCCAGTGCCACATCTGCGACATAAATCGGCGATCATGGTTCTCCATTCATTCCTTAGCTCGGATGCTCTTAAAAAAGCTATGGTTCCCTGATCTTTCCCCGTCACACACTTGTTCAGGTTCCCCAAGTAGGTTGCTCTGGGCCTACACCTGCCTCGCTTTCCCTCAATCTTAGAAGAAAAAAGTGCGTGTGATAGTGTCCAATAGTGTATTACGTGCATACTTGGTATGACAAGTAACTGTTACAGATAGAGATTCCAGGATTATAGATATAAGTCATTGATCTGAGAGCTATGATGATTTTAGATATAATGATGGTGATGAGTAATTATGTGGGATTGCGTTTAAGTAATGTTACCGTTAGTCCTATCTTCCTCTGCTCCAATGAGTCACGGGGGACGTGGGCACCCTCTATCCCGTTCCCTACTGGAACCATCTTCACAGTCACCGTGAAGTTCCGAAATGGTGGGTACAGTCTCTGCGAAGGTGGCATTGTTAGTATTAGCCTATTCCATTGGGCCACTTATCTTAACTTTCACTATTTTATCTTATCTTAATATCTCTCACCTATACGTTTTATAGTGGCTTCAGTATTACAGTACTTAGACTACCGGACATGGGTGTTTGGCGGGTGCTCTGGTGTGGTTTGCTCCTTCTTTCCTATTAAACATCTGTCTTCCTTATCTCCCCTCCTTCATTTTTGAATATGTTACTCTCTTGTAACACATACTCTATTTTTCGGCACTTATATGACCTTAATGTGTGGCAAGTGCCGCAAAACTCTTACTAAAACTAAGACTATCGGACTCATAATCGTGAGAGATCACAGTTCGGGGGTTCGAGCCTCAGCTCGGTCCGACGTTGCCTCCTACGAAAGAGACTTTACACGAATTTCCCATTTGGCTCTGTCCTTCCCTTTCGGAGGTGGACGTTAAACTCGGAGGTCCCACTTCTAAAATGGTCGCTTTTATGCTCAAGGGGACTATCCCAAAACATACTGTTTTGAGAAAATCGAAGGTAAAGCTTTTGGACCCTTGTAGAGAGTTTTCTCTATAACCAAAGAAATATACACACCAATAAAACCTAACTTCTCCTATAGGTAGGGCAATGCCCACTTTTGATGTAGGTCAAGATGTCTGGAAACCTCCGAAATCTGGGTCAGCCCGCTTGTCCTTAAAAGCCACCAAATAACCTAACAATGTTGATAGGGGCGTTAAACCTGTACACCAGTACCATTAATTTCACTATAATTTAAGCTTCACCATACTACGTTTGTCCCCAGCTGTGGATCAGTGAAACTGCTACGATGAGGGGAGTCCTCCGATGGGCGCTCGTCCTTGCCTTTGTCCTGTGCCTGACCTTGACCTTCAGCGAGGCCCAGCGGCGTAAGCGGAGGGCCCGAGGTCACCGCAGGATGATGCAGGACAGACACCGCCGAGCTCACCCCGGGGAGAGGGCCGGCAGAGGGCGCATGGGTCACTGGAGGAACCGCCTACGGGGGATGTTTGGGTAAACTCTTTTTCTTTTTATTGTAAGTGTTTTATGGCTCTTGCAACTGCATAAGGTCATTTGAGCGCGCAGGACACACGAAACCTTTTCAGTTGGTAGGAAATTTTGAATTTTGCCCGGGTGGCGGCTGAAGCCCACTCTTATCGATTTTAGACCACCAAGGTATTTTTAACGTGCACAACTTGCACACGGTCCCTCTGAGATTTTTCGCCCTTGTCCGAGGAGGCTAGGGGTAGATCTTTCCTACCAGAAGTTCAGGGGTGTGGCTGAAAGACAGCAGTAAGAAGGAGCCAGGGAGTAGCAGTAAAAAGGCTGCAGAAAGAGTCACAAGCCCAGAGGAGGGGACAAAGTAGGTGAGGAGGTGGGGGGCAGAAAGAGGAGACGAAAGCAGACAACAGGACATTGCTAGAGAGGAGAAAAGGAGGTGAAAAGAGATAATTTTTTAGAGAAAAAACATGTTTACTGACGCTACCCGGATTCGAACCCGGGACCTTTGACTGAGAGGCCAACACCTGAACCTCTTGGCCACGAAAGCCCCAGGGTAAACTCTGCTCACTGTATGGGTTTTACCTTTTGAAGGACGTACTGGACATGTGGTTACCCTAGAATTACAGAGTTTTTTCTGCTCAGTTTGTTTGTTTTAGTAAGGTTTTACGGCGCTTGCAGCTGCATAAAGTCATATTATGAACGCCAAGGTGTGGATGTCAGCAGAGAAGTCCAAAAGTGGAATCAGGCTTGCTATTTCCGAGGTGCCTTGATAGCCGAAGCAGACTTTGTGCTGTTGAGGATAGAGATGTGAGCAGAGTAAGCCTGATTCCCCATTTTGACTTCTGTGTTGACATTCTCCCTTTGGCGCTCATATGACCTAATGAGGTTGCGAGCGCCGTAAAAACGGATAAACTGTTCAGATGTACTAAGTCCGCAAAAATGGTAAAATTCTGGAAATTGCAGGTTTTTAATCGGATGTATCAGTTGCATGTGATCAATAATAATGTATTTTTGGGGGGGTAGAAATCTAAGTACTAAATTATGTTGAAAAGAGCAAGAAAAATGATACATACTATATGCTCAATTGCTGAAAGAATGAGTTTTTGTTTTATCTTCTGTAACATTTTGCTTTCTGGGCCAAGTACACTTTGAAAAGCTTCCCGACGATAAAGGTTCTTACTCCTAACACCCTTTTCATTACTTACGTCTTATTCCTTACACCCCTTTAATTAATTACGGGACCCGTTTCTCCTCTTTTTATTCTCACAATCCTTTATCAAAGCGACACGCGTGCACAACTTTCGGATCACGAATTCCCCCCTCCATCTTTGCAGGTAAATATTTCACTCCGTACTTCAATTTAATTAATTTCCTCGTGGATGATTTTTAAAAAAAATCTTTAATCAAACTTGCACGCCGGGACAATAAATAAAGAACTGAGATCACGAACTCCCAGTTCCTGCTTGCCTTGTAAACATTTTAAGATACGCCTGATCATTTTTTTGGGGGGGGGTGGTCTACTGGCTTAACCCTTTCCGTGCGTCGTGTTTTACTATCGTATCCATACGACGTGGGGAACTCTGTGCCACCACTTAACACTATCCGTACATCGTGTTTTACTATCATATCCATACGACGTGGGGATCTCTGTGCCACCACTTTCCAAAGAGGAAATTTACTCGTTAAACCGATCCGCACCTTTTGCATAGCAGTCTGTCAAAATGATTTTTGAGAAATACTGGAAGTTTCAAAGAGATCTTCGTACTAGAAGTATTCTAAAATGTGAAGAATACAACCCCGGGGGTACAAAATGAGCCCAGGTCGTACAGATAGGGTTAAGTTATAATGCTCTTAAGATGTTGTTACGAGAGAGACAGACACAAAGGTTACCGTCTAACCAGAAGCTGGGACATTCCTGACATGTTTCTCTTATGTACATAGCCGTAAACCACGAGAACATTTACTTTTCTTTATTTGTGTGATGTTACCGTAGTAGCAAAGATAGAAGAAGGAGAGGAAAGGGGAGAGGGGACCTAGCAGAAGATAAGATGGGAACAGGACAGAGAAACCTGGCTTACAACCAAAACAACTCAGGCAGGTAGAATGGCGAGAGAGAGAGAGAGAGAGAGAGAGAGAGAGAGAGAGAGAGCAAGAGAGAGAGAGCGAGAGAGAGCGAGAGAGAGAGAGAGAGAGAGCAAG